CTCTTAATGAGGTACCGTTTCCAACGTGTCTATATAGTAGCCGAGATTTCAGCCTGGAATACACTGCAATGAGCTAGTACGCTTGAAGGAAGGTTCTAATGAAATTTACCGTGAGAAAACTCGCCCCCTCGCACTCTCAAGCTTCAAGCCATCAGTGTAAAATTCCATTCTCCCCGAGTAACATATTATATGTGTTTGGACTTTCTTTACTGTTGGGAATCAAATTAGAAACTCAGCTTCCTGTGCTGCTTGATCAACGTTGGATCAATAAGGTATGAGCCCACACTGATAAGGTCCGACCAATTCATTTTGTCATTGCGATATTGAGACGATGACTCTGACTAAATTCCATAACCATAAGGTCAAATTATTTATGAAAGAGAACGCAGCCTTAACATCAAGTGCATCAAAATAGATTAGATTGCTTGAAACAACTTGGTACAAATAGAAAAGATTTCTTTAACGCCTCACTGAAATGTTCAAGTGGTGGCGCAATAGGCACGATTGTTCTGTTGATTGATTGATTGAAGTGTTGGTGATGTTGAATTTTCATAAACCACTTGATGAACCTTATTTTAGAATCCTTTGCAGTCTTTCAACACATTTTCAAGACAGCACTAAGATATGAATATTTGTATATACATATTTGTACCCGACCTTACCTTTCCTTTTTTATTGATATATTAATTTCGGTCTAAGGCATGAGAGTGCCAGAAGTAGGGAAAATATACCCAGCTCAAACATGATCGTAATGGTATCCACCTACAGCCTTCTCCAAAAGTATGAGGCACCCCACTAAAATACAATTATTCTCAAATGTAGCCATCAAAGCAACCACTGCTATTTGTAAATATCTTACATGGGTGTTTAACTGTTGATTAAACGAATAAATTGTGTAATATTAAAAATCATGGCTCTCTGAGTATGCTAAACCTAAAAATTGTCACAATAATAAATCAAAAAGTGAAAGAAGGCGTCTAACCAGTAAACGAGAAGACAGAATACTTATACGCGAGTCTCTCAAGTATCGCAAAAATTCTTCTTCTGCCCTTTCGGATTAATTTAGTGATCGAACAGCTAGAAGAAGACTTCTGGAAGCAGATTTAAAAGGATGTGAAGCCCGAAAAAAGCCGTGGCTCTCCGAAAAGAATAGGAAAAATCGTTTGGAATGTGCTCGCCGATACCAACAGTTCACCGAAGAGGATTGGTCGAATGTTCTTCGAGGAACGCTCGAAATCTTTTTATAAAACACTTTAAAAATCCATGCCAGGGGAGTCAAGATTATTTAATGTAAAAGTAGTAAATTATTATTTCTAATTTAACTACTAATTCAACTACTAAATCCAGTCGGAAAGCACATCATAAGGTGCGGTGATACGTACTTCCAGCCGTACGCTGCTACTTGCCCAAAGATCCTCATTCAAGAGATCACGGCAAGACAAGAGCTTGGACATTCTATGATTAGTTCTGCTTTCCTTTGATTAGACAATGAATCTCAGCGAATGAGTGAGGTAGTGAGTGAGAACAAGAAGAAATATTTCCTTTCGTTATATAAACAATCAGCCCGTTTCCCTTCTTTTCTCAAACGTGGCAGTAATAACTTTGAAGTCTTAGATAATATCGCTTACCTGAGAATCAACTTTAACAGCAATAATAATTTCCACAATGAAATCCAATGCAGAATCATTCTCGTCAACCGCACTTCTTTGGGCAATGTAGACAATTGAAGATGAATTTCTCTCTTTTGATGAACACACTCTACAAGTACCTCATCATTCCCGTCCTGGCATACAGTGCAGTGGCGTGGACGATGACGATATTCTATGAATATACGAGGAATATGAGCTTTCTGGAGAGAGGTTTGAAACGGCGAAAGCCGCAGATGATCGACTGATGAGCCAATTAGTTCCAAATGATGAAAAGAATAAAGAAATATCTCAGTGCCTATGCCAATGAAGAAAAAAGAATCTACGATAGCGTGCCCTAAAAATATTAATACGAACTGTTTCTGAGAATGATGATCCCAAGAAGTTCCAAAAAAAGTGAGTTTGCGTGTGCGGTTCGTAGTTTCATAACCCAAAATAAAACAGTGGTGGGAAAAAATGTAATTCTTTAAAAACTGACGTCTACTTTAATAAAACATTTGTCGTTTCGAAGGAAATTTTTGGCACAAATTGTAAAAGAAGAGTAATATGGGGTGAACCAAGTAGTGGTATTATTTTCAATAACATTCTTTGACAGATCCCCCGTGAGTCAAGCTATCATGTTAGTTTTCTTCAGTATTGTTTGGCATTTCATCGTGGAAATACTTTCACCTGAACGACGTTTACAAATCGTTTAACTTTATTTCGAAAATTCTGTAAAGAATGTGTCTCGCGAACTTCGCTCAACTTAAGGCCAACATAATTGCCTTACTGAGCGTACAATTCGCAACACTATCACCCATCTTGAGATCCAACATCTTTTAGTTCTTAATAATTGGCTCATGTCTATCTCGTAGTGTAGAAAATATAGCGGTCGTAGCTGTTAGCATATACGAAGACTGTCGAATCGGCGTCGTTCGCAGCAACTCGGACCAACATATGGAACGATCTTAAATCGAAAGCATACAAAACACAGTTTGTGCAACTACTGAAGCTACTCGACCTTTCCATGCGGCATTACTTTGCTCTATGGGCTCTTGAAAAATTTGGTTCAGCGATGAGACCCATTTCCTGTTCAATAGGTATGTAAATAAGCAATATTGGAACGAAGTGCAACCTGAGAAGATCCAGAAAAAACAACGGTTTGTTGTTGTTTGTGGTTTGTCCTCAAAAACTGTTTGTTGCCTGAAATTAAAGCTCGTGATCTCGCCGACATTTGATTTCAACGAGACGGCACCACTTCTCACACATAGCCACAATCAATGGGGTTATATAGAGAATGTTTCGGTGAACAGATAAATTCACGTTTTGGGCTAGCCGATTTTTCCAGCAGGGATATGTAAAGTCTAAAGTCTATGCGACAATCCCTGTTATTCGCCAGTTACCAGTCAAAATGCTTCAATGAGTTATCGAAAATTGGACTCAATGGATGTACCTTCTAAAACGTAGCCGCGGCCAACGTTTGAAATAGATAATCTTCAAAAAATAAAGGCCAAAGAATATTCTTTCGTATGATAACCAAGAATCCCTATTAAATTTAAAAATTCTGTCTTTTCACTTAAAAAAAAACTTTAAATTTCATAAATAATTAAGTATAAATTCCGAACACAACGGTTGAACTATTCAGAAGAAATGGAGACCACCGAATTTAAATTTTCCGAAGTGTAATCCAAATCGCTAATTTTTTCTCAAATTTCAAGTATTTAGATCTATGAAAATATTTAAATTAATAATAAATTGTATGTAGCAAAGCATTCCAAAATTTTGATTTTTGAAAACTCAAGCTGCATTTAACCTCTTAATATGATTAACGCCTTAAAATATTTTTTTAATTGTTGTGTTAGCATAATTAAAAGAAGAAATGTCAGATTTTTTTGTAACCAGAAAAAAGTTTTATATCTTGTAAGTAAAAAAAAATTCCTAAATAATGGTGATCCAGATAGTTTTTCATGAGGCTTTCTGGTCTTTCAGTGCTATCGCCTATCTATGTATACCAACTCAATTTCACTTTTTACTCAAAGCAATTTTCTTCGAATTTCCTTGAAATCTAATTCCTTCAACAAATCTAAAAAATAAATACGCAATTCCTCAATGCACACGGAAATTCTATTATGCACAAATAACGGTTAGCACAAATCAAAGGATTGAGTGCAGTGCAACTACAATGACAAATCAAACGGTAAAAGTTTTTCACGAAAAAGTCGCTGCGTGATGAATATGATGAGGGAAAGATTTTCACTTTCAGGCTACAAATGCAACAACTACCTTCCATAGGAGGACCTTCGCCAACACACAAGCGTGTATGAACAACGGCTAAGGAAAACAAAAACGAAAGGAAATTGCAAAAGTAGTAAAGAGTGAATTTCGTAAAAGGATTGTATGGCGGAAATGCTTTTCTTTTAGCACACAAATGGCCAATGGGGTAACGATTTTCCGGCAACTGAGCAAATATATGAATTTATTCATTCAAACCCATGTAGATATGTATGTAAAACAATATATATTTATTTATGTTGAATAAAAATAAATTCCTACCTACTTCCGATCATTTTAACAAGATTAATGAAGGGCTTGGCGAAATTGGAAATTCGATTTTCATCGCTTTGAACGGATTGTCGATAATCTATATTTAATACACCAACGCAATTTGGTACGCTGATTTACACATTCGATTTGCTGGTGTAAACATGAAATACATACATATATAGATTTTTTCTATTACACATATGTATACATGTATATATGTATATGTGTATAAACATATGGAGTTTTCACCCTCCAATCATTGTAAGGAAACTGAAAGTAAGCATTCGTTTATCATCCTTAACTGATGATAATTCTAATGCCATTAACATTGGTTTCCATCTACATACATATATACGTACATATATGTAAGTACATGTTGTATGCACGTGTGTGGGTGTACATGCATGCATGTGAAATTCGCAAAAGAATCACTTATTTCCCACTACCTGTTCCACACTGAGAATTTTCTCACCTGAATCGATGAGCATGCGAAGGATGTAAGCGTGAAATGCGAGTCGAACTCGCTGTGTAGGCAAAGTAACTTAATACTGTTGATCATTAAAACGATATGCTGCCGGAAATCGCATTTGGAAAACACCTCTCAGTCTCTTCGTTTTTAGTTCTGAATGCTTTGTTTTCAATTTCACTGCATATGCATACTTACATAAATACATATAAATATTGTATATTTTTTCAACATTCACTTTCGTTCGTGCAAAAATATATATATATATTCCACATATTCACTTTCGCTCGATTTTGCTGAATAAATCAACTTTCACCCCTGCTAATCCATTAATTAATTACAAAATGTATATATATATATGTACATACTTCATAAATTTTAAATTTTAATAGAACTACAAACATAAAACAAACACACTCTTACAATCTCCTCGGCGTCAGTACGACTTTAAAACCATTCGCCAATTTCAAAATTATATCGCCTTGCAATTGAAATTCGGTCTCGTCGACATTTGAGTGAATTTCGAATTTTCGCACAAGCGTCGAGAGTAAAACTTTTAGCATCAACATGGCATATTTTCGACCAACACAACTGCGTGGACCCGCACTGAACGGCACATAACTGTAATAGTGTCGCTTCGATACCTTTTCGGGTAAAAAGTTGTCTGGATCGAATTTTTCTGGATTCTCATAACAATCGGGACGCCGATGTACAGCATATTGACCGAGCACAACTGTCGTACCCTTCGGTATGATGTATGGACCAGAGGCGAGTTTTACATCCTCGTTAACTTTACGCGCTATAACCGGTACTGGTGGATAAAGACGTAGTGCCTCTTTAATCACACGCTCTAAATATTGCATTTGTAACGTGTCGGCGAATGTGCAATCTCTATGGTAGTCATCGGCGAAAATTTCTGCTTGTTCCTCAACAACCCTGGCCTGCACATCTTTATGGATGCCAAGTAGGCAGAGTACAAAACTTGAACCGGCTGAGGTGGTATCGTGACCCTGTAAAGAAGAATAGTGACTTTTAAAAATTACACTGAAAGTCACCAGCGAATTATATAAGGCAATAAAGTCCCAGTTCTTTCCAAATCAACTACCTTTCATCAACGGTGAAACTCATTACATTTATGCTAAGCCGTCTCCGCACGGCCGATGGATTTTAATCAAGAACTTTTAATGCGTGTCAGAAATACATTGGGAGGGCAAAATAAGAAGAAATTGCAATTCTCTATCATTTTGGATATTGGTCTAACCAAAACTCGAACTCTAACCACTCGGCTTTTGTGGTCACCTTCGAACCATTAAATTTGTGGTATCGGATGATTCGAGTAAAATTCATTGGATCTAATCAAAATAGAAGTGTAGAAGTCCACGGAGGAACAGAAAGTTGTTGACTGCCATTCAACCGGAAAGGGTCATAAATGAATCCTTTGCACTTTTTCAAATGGGTTACTATGCGGTCTTAAGCTTTGTGTCCTCTGGTTTTGTTTGAATGTGTAGTAAAGTGAGAAGGCGAATACTCTGTGGTTTTGCATAGGGACCTATGCATCGATGAGAGGCTTCCTAATAAAATTTTTGGTTTTTTTTTGAACAGGAAGGCCTTCACCGCCATCCCAAGACAATGGACAGTACAATAATTTAAAAATAGGGGTCCTTGTGACGTTTTCTATCTGCTATTTAAGCGAGCACATACTTGGTATTGGATTTGTGGTATGAGAGAGACTCTATCGCAAAAATTGGCAATACTGCATTCAAGACGAGACAAGTACCTAGAAGGTGTGTACTTGTAAAGGCCACAAGAACGGATATACTAAGGAATGAAATTTTGATTTTGGAGCTGTAATGGAACATAGACTTTGCGTTCGTTTGCGTTTGCGCTCAAGCTCCGAAGGAAAACAAGAACGATGTGAACAAAGATTCTTTCTTATCAACGCCTACAATACAACTAAAAGCTCTATCAGTTCGTTCGGAAAACTCAGTATCCAGTATTTTGGATAAGAAATGGAACAGGATATACTAGCCATTTGTTAGTAATCCCATGAGGCTTATGCGATGTTTACTGCGAGTTGGAAGTCCAACTAACTCGCAGGATATTGTTTTAAACTAAATTTTTAGGTGCTTATTAAGCAAAACGCAGTCAAACGCATCAAACTTTTTCTACTTCAGATTTTTTCTACAAACTTTGCTATTCGAAAATATTTTTGCTTTGTAAATCGCCAATTTTTTTCCCCGACACATTTTCCCGAATTCTCCAATCACTCACCTAAGACTTACCTCAAACATAATTGTATTAACCTCATCCATCACATCCTTTTCTGTCCATTGAATTTCCGGATTCTTTGTCATCTCCACCATTGCATCCAATAGAGCCAAACGACGCTTGGCACCTGTAGAAAAACAGCGGAATGAGATAAACAAAGCAAATTAGTTACACCTCTCCGCAACCAAATAACACTTTTGAACTTCATTATTAATACCAACAAATATACATAGGGTATATATTTACTTATAACACTGACAGCATCAATAAATCTTACCCACATCACTCTCATCATCATCGATTTCGTCCAAATCGTCACGCGGCTCATCCTTTCGCTTACCAACCTTCAGCTCATTGGACGCATCCTGTTGATCCAACACGCCATCTGTTTCCAAATTGAAATTTTCACGCCGCTCCGCGATGACACGCCTCGTTAGAGCCAAGATAATGCTCATCATGCTATCGCATTTCTCGCGCAGTTTTGTCAATCGATAGATGGGATCGAAACGATAGTGAGCCTTCACTTGGCGTTTCTGTATAATGGCACACATTTCAATTACCGCTTCGGCATATTTAACACATTCCTCGCCTGTGGGCAACTTCTTCATACCCATTGCTGTACTAAGCAAAATCTCGACGGTAGTCTGACTCATATGCTCGTGTACATCGAACTCACGTCCTAGAAATTTCGATTCCAAACGCTGAGCGACATTTTGTGAGTGTTTCACGAATGTCGGCATGAAGCTCTTGAGTATACTCTGATGGAAGGTGGGCGCAATCATTTTGCGATGATGACGCCAATGATCACCCTTACTTATGAGTAAGCCATCACCGAACCAAGGCTGAAAGAATCTGTACTCATTGGATTTCTCCAAATGCACGGGACTGTTGAGTATGATTTCAATGTCTGCCGGATTTGTCAAGAAGACCACCATGAAGTTGAAAAAACAACCGCTGATTGTTTCACCATAGCGATGCATGTACTGCAGGGCTTTTTGCACCAGTTCTGAAATATAGGCGTATAGATATTTCGTATAAAAAAAAATAATTGAAAGGTATTTCATGTAATTTTTGTAAAAACTCACCTGTAGGCGTAAGACCCAAAATCAAATGCGCATTACCAATTAAAGGGAAAACCGGTGGTCCGGGTATCGTCTTAAGCTTCTTGTATGCATCGGTATTACGAAACCAGATGTCATATAATGTCAGAGCCAACAAAGCGCCTAAGACGCTAATATACAAAGGATTCGAGAGGACGTGCTCCTTTGGTAGCACAATACCCTCTGTGTTTGGTGTTGTTGTTATTGCAGTCCCATTTATTAGTTCCATAGTGTTCACAGCTACTGCTCTTCTGGCACTACTGCACTGTACTGTTTGTCTTTTGCATATGTCACTGCACTTTTAATGCCACTTACATGGTAATCCAACTTTTCCACCGTCCGATCGCGTTATGTGCGTTAGTATGTAACATGTTTACGTGCTTACTTAAATAAACTTTAGCGCACTCTTTTGAACTTTATAAAAGAATATTTACAATAAACAATTTGCCAGCACTAATATAGACACTGCTTACTTGAAAAAAGTAATAAAAAAAAAAACAAGAAAGGTGTGCTGTCTTCGACCATGCCGAATTCTTCATACCATTCATGAAAGTATAATTTCGATGATCTTCAATACTTATATACCCTTACATTTGGACTTACCCTTAAATTTGGATCTGAACAAATCGATTGTATGGAGGCTGCAGTTGGATATAGTTTTTCACCAAGTTTCATGTTCTTAGATTCTTTTTTGGGTGTTTCCTGACTGAACATCTCAAAACTGAAAAATTAGTCGTCTTTATTAGGTCTAAAAAGTCCATTGAAGGCTTTATTTATTATAATTAAAATTAATACCTTTTTGAGGTTTTGAAGGTAATGTCGTAAGCCTTTCTTATAGAAACCCTTTCATATTGGCAAAAAAAATCGGGATAAACGATCTTCAACTTTGATCCAATGCTTCACCAGCAAATTATTCGCCATAGACGGGAACAGATGGTAATCACTTGGTGTGAGTTACGGACTACAAGGTGGGCGTATAAGAATCTTCCAATCAAGCTCTGTTGTTGTTGTTGTTGTTGTTGTTGTTGTTGTAACCGCAAAAATATTGCCCAAAGTACTTTCTTGGGAATGTTGCGGGAGTGACAGTCCTTGGCCGGTTAAAAATCCGGGTCGTTCCGGTATAAAGACCCGAATGTCGCGGGAACTATTGGATTTTAGTCGCCTCTTACGACAGGTATGCCTTACCGCGGCTAAATTCTTGAACCCCTAACCCGCTGGGTCCCCAATCAAGCTCTCGAAGCTTCTGGCGAGTCACTCTCCTTATGTGTGATCTTGGGTTATACTAAATAAATTCAAATCCCTTTCCAAAGTTCGATGCTTCTGCTTCGTTCACACGGTCCAATTGTACCAGATACAGATCACGTTATAATGAATGATTTCACGCTAATGTCGCCAAACACACAACAAAACTTTTCTGGCCGTCAATCCTGGCTTGGAGACTGCTTGTGCCGGCTTAGTGTTCCTCGAGCACGACCGTTTTCATTCGAGGTTGTTATGAGTGATCCACCTATCATCACCAGTCATTATTTGATCCAGAAATAGACCGATTTCGTTACGAAACAATAGATAGAAGTTCGGCCTAGAAGTTTCTTCCTCGTTAACTCATATGGCACCCATACATCGGGCTTCTTGGTGTGTCCAGCTTTTTTCAAGTGGTTCCAAACTTTTTGTTTTAAAATGTTCAGCATGTTCAGCTCCTGGGCAATCGAAACAGTACTCGTTTGATGGTCAGAACCAGAAATTTCTATTATTTTATCGTTATTTTCGTCATTGGCACTCCACACCCTGGTGTATCTTTTACAATAGACTTACCGCAACGAAATCGACGTAACCGAAGTTGTGCATGATTGACTGTTACAAGTATTTGGACCGTAAACACTATATCTGAGACTAACATACATAGGACCAAAAGTTACATGAAAGATATAGCAACAAAGAAATAAAAGCGTCGAGTAAATAACATACATATATTCATACATTTGTGCTTACATATACATACATAAGTTAGCATTAGATTGGTGGCACATCGGTTCGTATAAACACCAACATTTGCATAAGTACTCCGTGTGACGCATTCCACTTGCAATTTATTTTGCAGAAATTACCATTCATTTATTTATAATTATGTCGCTAGGTTAATAGCTTCACTAGACGAAGGATTTTATTCGACTCGCGATTATTGGCACAATAAAGTTGACCATGGTCATTTGGCGGCCGCGGTAGTCGAGTGGTTAGCATGGCGTAATGCCGTTCGGAAGACCCGGGTTCAAATCCCAGTGCGACCAACATCTAAAAATTATAGAAAATCAATTTCTTATTGCAATCGCCTCTCGGGAGGGTAGGTTAAAACCTCCGAGTGTTCTTCTGTTATGAAACAAAACTCCTCATAAAAAGCCATCGGTCGTTCAGAGGCAGCTTAGTATAAACTGTAGGTCCTTCCATTTGTTAGAAAACATCAAGACGCAATGGCACAAATTAGAGGAGGTGCTCGGCCGAAAAAAAATCGCTTCAGCGGTTACAAAGCGCCATTTGTATCCGTAGAATCCTTAGCGTTTGCTAAGTATTCACAATTCGCAAACGATTCTTCGCATAGACTTTCTCTTGTGGTTTCACTTGCAGTTGTGAGTAAGGAGCTAGAAATGTAATTCAACAGTTTGTGGAAATTTAGAAAATATTTAAGCGGGTAGAAGAATCCAGTAAGTGGAACAGGGACCAACATAATTAGACTCTCGAAAAATGGTATTTATTTTGCGGCTTATTTGATATTCTTTTTACTTTGCGGGAAGAGCACCAGATGCCATTTTTTGTTTCTAATATAAAAATATGGCCAGGAACCATGCTCGATTTGCTAAAGACATTCATAGCTTTTTTCTTATATAAAACGACGGAAAACATATGATACATGGCTGCATACTCCAAATCAATAATATATAGGGAAAGTAAATATCTTGAAGCTTTACTTCAGTTTTCATTATAAAATAAACAAAACACAGAGAGCCACAGCAACGTTTCTTGTCTATTTTTGCTAGCAAGATCAATGTTCTCCTTGAAATTGAGGACTGACTAACTGTACATTGGGCTTTAGCGCCATCTGTTTCTCATGTCATGAAACTCATGCTGCATACAGGGTGTTTGTACGAAAATTTAAAAATTATTATATATATAAAATTCAATCTGTTTTTTTTTATTTTGTTTTCTTTGAGTTCAGAAAAAGTTTTTTTATTAATAGAAGTAAAAAATTCATCATTCAAAGTATTTTTCTTTAGGAGCGAACTCTTTTTCCCATCACTACAGTAATTTTTGAATACCATCTCTAAAAACATAATCCTCTCGGTACTCGCCCTAATCATTAAGCCGTTCTACAATTTCTTTAATTAACCCGCATCAGTGATGCTCTAATTCGATTTGCATCCATCGAAAAAGGCAGTAATTGAAAGGAGGAAGGTCGAAAGAATATTTCGGGTGGGGAAAAACGTTTTCATGTTCTAAATTCAAGCCTTTTGAAGCGAACCAATTGTGAAAATCAAGTCTTCCTTTCTTTCGCAAAGCTTTTTTTTTAACACAACTCCGGACATTTTCAAAGAGGCAAGAAACATATATTTTTGTCAGAAACAGGCGCGGCCGCGCATTTCTAATATTCATAGAGGTGAAACCTTTCCATTGATATAAATGAGCCACAACTTGCAGGTGGAGCCATCTTTTGAGAATGGAAAGAATTAATTTGTACCCCCAATACTTTAGCTGGGCAATAATTAAGTAAAATTGACTAAAATAAAAATGAATTTCGAATTTTGAGTTAACTTTCAATGCGGGTCACAGAACTTTCTTTGCATAGAGGTTTTATGTGTTTTCAATTAAAGTATTAAATATTGAACTCTTCTGCATTGACTTTACTTTGACTCGTAAAATAGAGTTTTATTTATGCTGAAAATTTGTAACTTGGTTAGAAATCATTTACTTAAAACACTTGTCAATTTTATGAATTATGCTCTCCTCTGTACCTTTTTAACAAGGTAGGTACGAATGAAGACCGAAAGAAACTAAAATTAAGATTAAAATTAAATATTTTATGCAGCAGTAATCTCCAAGGAAATCTCAATTGATTTCAATGTCAAAAATTTATAATTTTTTTTTAAGGAATTAGTGGGTTTGAGAACCAGAGTAAAAAATTCCAGACAAATAAAAGTGGGGTTTCATGGGAGTCATGCAACCAAGTTTAGAACAGAGCAAAAACAATCATAATTCATGCGATGCGATCACCCGTCGAGAACTGTTTCATATCAATAGCCGACATATGAGTGTTGTTATTGGTTGCTTAGAACCTTTAAAAACCTTCGAAAATCGGTTTTACTTTGCATGAAAGTTTAGCCTCTTATGAAACCAAATAATTCTGGTTCGATTGAAAAGTCAACGTAAGTATAACTCTTAACTATCAAAAGTCATCGCAATGAAAAGTTTTTGGGAACAGGCCCGTGCGCATGGGGCGGGCGAATTTCGGGGGTTCAGACCCCTATCATGACCGAATCTAAATTGAAAATTTTATTATCTTTTAGATCAAAGGCGATAAGTTTCTTCAAGCCACCAGTCCGCAGTGTCTACAATCTAGTGATATTTTTCTAGAGCTAATGAATCTTGATGATACATACTCAGTGACATTAACCCATATGTCATACGGGCAGGCGCAGCGGCAAATTTCATTATGATATGCGCAGCAAGAAAAGTTTTGCGCATGAGATGTCCTTGTGTGGTTCGTGCCTTTGATATCTTTAAATTCAATCGTGCCTGGTTAGTGTTGACCGTTTACTTGAGCACATCGCAGTGCAAAAGAGATTACACTTCCATTCAACGTTTTTTTTCCCTGACACGAAAAATGATATTTATCAAGAAATCGGCTTGAATTATAGCAGCTGATCTATTTCTTTATCTGCTATACATAGAAAAATTAAATGATAATAGACCTGTTAGTCTTGTAGTGATAAATATTTACGTCAAATCCACTTTTAAAATGACTGATAACAGAGAGATTTACCAAGGCAAGGAATCGATTCCTTTGATTTTGGGTTGAACGATAAATTTACACTTTTTTACAGTGTAGAAATATTGACATGCCTCAAATAGTGTGCGCCACTTTAGATACGCCGTTTCCAATTTTGAAATATAAACACCAATTTCGTAATCAGCGAGCCCAAAAACCTTTATATACATGAAGCTCTTCCAAAGTTAAGTGATTTTCTGAGTTCTGACGGCTCTTTTGCTGAAATCGTAGTTGTGTGCGGAATTAGTATGCTTTGCACTACTGTAAATCGCGAAATAGTGCTCCGGTTGGCATGAAATGTTAAAACAAAGCTCTCGACACTAAATACTTTTAGAATATAAAAAAAATTGATTTTTTTTGAAACCAAACTAGGTATAATCCCTTAAAATATGCCACACAAAAGGCAAAATGAGATTATGCGCTTCCTATGACTATTTATTTTTCTCATCACTATCAATTTAGTTGGGCGATCGTCGTGAAGCTACAGTGAGTTCTACGTCGAGTTCTACAGTACCCATTCATAAATATCACATTGGTTCCATTGTCAATAAATCATCTGCTGATGGAATACACTCAATGGTTGAGCTTCAAGACAAGATCTGGATTCCTTGCGATACCTTCAAGTTTCCTTTATCCAGTCCACAAAATTTAAAATTCCAAAGAACTTGGTTGCAGAAATACGCCTGGTCAGCTTATTCAGCAAAAGTTGATGGGGCGTTCTATAAATGCTTCGTGCTTTTTTCTGTAAAAGAAGGAGAAGTTGAAAATCAAGTATTGGGCCAGTTAGTATTGAAACCTTTCAAAAATTGTTGTATCAGAATTGTTTGCTGCTCAAAGACATCATTTTACGCTTTAGAGTATAATTAAACAGAAAGCAAATCCATCGCATAATATTTATGGAGAAAATTTTCTAAATTTAATATTTGAGCCTAATTATGGAAAATAAGCCTGGATGTCAATAGAAGCTGAATGAAAACGCTATCCTCCAAATTAAAAGGGTAATTTTTTCTCGCAAACTTCTTAATATGCGCCTTTTTGCACTTTCTTCTTCATCTTCAATGAATTCCCGACCTAAAATATGCCTACACATTTTGGTTTTTATTATTACCCAAACTAACAACATAAAATCATACAGCTGATTGCTTACAGGGTGACAATGAATTCGGAATACGTAATAGTAACAAAATTTACAAGATACTGACAAGCCTATTTTAAATTTTGTTATTTTTTTTTAACACCCGAAATTGAAGTGGCGAACTGGTTACAATGTTTGAAAAAAACTTTGGCAGCTCTGCGTTTTTCGCCCTTGTCAGCTAACATTTGCCAGTTGGTAAAGTAAAAAAGAAGAATATTCACATCGAAATGGTGGATGGCGCGCAACAAAATAAATGTGATTTATTTAATTCTTTGTTAAGTCATAAATGCTTGAACTGAATTTTGAAAATATGCCTAAACAAAAAAAAAAGATGAATGAAAATTCTATCTTCCAAATTAAAAGGGTAATTTTTTTCTCACAAACTTCTTAACAAGCAACTTTTTGCACTTTTCAGGCCTAAAATATGCCTACATATTTTGGTTATTTTTTTTTTTTAAACTAACAACATAAAATCAAACAGCAAATTGTTTGTTACCTCCTATTTCGCTGGTAACAAAATTTACAGGGTGACAGTGAACTCAGAATACGAAATAGTAACTAAATTTACTGAATGGTAAATTTTAATACCAAAGTCAATTTTGTTACTTCGTCAGAATGTATATTTTCAAATGTAATGGAAAATGAATTCTAGAATTGAGCTAAATACATATTTGAGCACTATCCAACACAATATACAAGTATGTATTTGTCTATACGAGTCCATAGTTCTGCTGACAGTCAACGCTCATAAATATGCTGATTCTTCGTAATTTTATTTATTTTATGGTGTGATTTTTAATTAAATGATTTTCACTACTTTGCCCACTGAACTTTGCCCTCCCTGTTGATCCGCAAAGAAAAGCACTAAGGAATTTGCATTTTTCCAGCTTTATACTGCGCATGCTCATTACTTTATTACTAATTAAATTTCGTTAGATTTGTCTCTCCACACTTACACACTAAGGTTAGTTACTTTGTGAATTTGTTTTGATTAAAAAAATATTAAATGATATTTCGATAAGCCTTCCACCTGAAAGAAATCGCCCACTTTCGCTGATCACAATTGGTTTTCTTATCATTGTCATTACATCATACGTCCTCACAACCGCATACGTTCGTCGTTCGTTGAAAAACAAAAAAAAAAGCTCGGCTTATCTGGCATCATGCATTTTGTCTAGGAAGGTGTTCTACTTAAAGTATTAAGAAATGTGCACTCTTATCTTACTAAATTTAATTATAATTTAAATTGTCATAGGTATTAGATCAGAAAAAATTAAGAAAAAGAAAGAATTTGTGTTCTTTATCACCGCGCTTACGCCACAACCGGTTGACGTTTCTGCAGCACCACGTTGAAACCACCCTCCAATTTTAGAATGATATCTGCCTGCAGTTTCCAATCGGCTTCCGTTTCATTGGAGTGCACCGTGTAGTTGCGTATGATGGTGGATAGCAACACCTTCAGCTTCAGCATAGCGTATTTACGACCGACGCAACTGCGTGGACCGGCGCTGAATGGTATGAAACTGTAGTAATGGCGATTGGCCATGCGTTCGGGCAAGAAATTGTCAGGATCGAATTTATCAGGGTTGGAGTAGATGTCGGGACGACGGTGTACACGGTACTGAAGTACCACCACAGTGGTGCCCTTTGGCACAACATAATTGCCCGAAGCCAACTTAACATCGCTATCGACACGACGCGCAATCAAAGGTACTGGTGGGTACATACGCAAGGTCTCCATAATGACACGTTCCAAATATTTCATCTCCATGGTATCGTTGAAGGTGCAATCGCGCAACAAATTGTCGCCAAAGATGGCCTTCTGCTCGGCGAATACCTTTTCCTGCACGTCCTTATGCATGCCCATCATGCAGAGTGCAAAACTCGAGCCAGCTGAAGTGGTGTCGTGACCCTGTGGATGAAAATTGAAATTTAAATTTCATTATTTGCAAAGCTCCATAAACAATCGTAGTCTACAACTCACCTCAAACATAATCGTGTTAACCTCATCCATAATATCCTTCTCATTCCACTCTATCTCAGGGTTCTTGGCCATTTCTACCATAGCGTCCAACAAGGCCAGACGTCGCTTAGCCCCAACATCATTCTCATCAATGTCATCTAAATCATCACGCAGTCCACCGACCTTCTTAGCGGCGGCCTTCTTAGTCGACTCATCGATCTCCTCAACAATAGCGTTGCCTTCGGCATTATAATTGGCTTTACGGTCCATAACAACGCGCTTGGTCATACCCAAGATGATGTCCATCATTTTATCACCCTTCTTACGCATCTTCGTCAAATTGTAGATAGCATCCAAACGGTACATCATCTTCACCTGCCGTTTGTGTATGATATCACACATATCTACCACCGCCTTGGCATATTCAAAACTCTTATTACCCTCCGGCACCTTCTTCACGCCCATAGCAGTGGTGAGTAGAATCTCCACAGTGGTTTGTGACATATAATCGTGAATGTCGAACTCCTTACCCAACTCTTTCGACATACGCTCCACAACATTTTTGGAATGTTGCACGAAAGTCGGCACGAAGCTCTTCAAAATGCTCTGATGGAAAGTGGGTGCAATCATTTTGCGATGGTGACGCCAATGATTGCCGCTGCTAATGAGTAAACCATCACCGAACCAGGGTTTAAAGTAACGATACTCCTCGGCTTTATCCAAATGATTGTTGCTACTCAAAATGATCTCAATATCATTAGGATTGGTGAGGAACACAACCAAGACATGACCCAACCAAGCGCGCAAAGTTTCGCCCAACTCCTCGAGGTATGCATTGCCCTTGGCAACGATTTCTATAGAGAAGGAAGACAAAATGATTTAGTAATGATTTTTTTACTTCAGGATCTCTCTTAACTCACCGGCATTCGAACAGCCCAATACCAAATGCGCATTACCCAAAACGGGTAATTCCGGTGGGCAAGGTATATTCTTGGTCAAACGATATTCACGCGAACTACGACGCCAATACTCGTACAGAGCCGCAATCAAAACAACACCGATCAACGCGGTCCACAAGGCGCCCAAACCACCGCTGGCTGAGGCCTGTGTAATGGTCTCTTGCACTGTAGCTGTTGCAGCTGACATTTTTTTCACTTCACTCAATTATCCTTTTACACTGTAAATCCCAATCTGTTATATGGAATTCCTTATTCCGATACAACTACTCGTCCACAGCCCGGTTCTTGTAGAAATTTCGCCGTACCAAAGCACGGCTTACACTAAACTGATTGAAACATTGGACTCGCATGCAATTATATGGTTTTGAAATTAAACAGTAATTTTCCAATTTACAAAAATGTTAATCAATTCACTGAGTCGATTTTAATTAGGAAGAATACAGTTTTTCGAAATGGATTTGCATTTATAATGACGAGAAACTAAGGTGGTAAGAGGGGATAGTATTTCTAAGCATAGGAATTTTGTTGTGAAAGTGCATATAGTATCTGCAATACTTACTTAAACATACAAAGAATGCGCTTGCAGAGATATGTCCAAAGACGATTCGAGGGGGACTGCGGTTTTGAACTTAAAGGGTTTCGATTTTGTGTCATAATCCACGGGACAAGGTCGTGATAGCAAAAACTCATAACGGCGACTCTTTCCAATCTGATTTGTTGTAAGTAGTTCACTTAACGTAAACGGTGTTATATCCAGTTTTTCCAAGATTTTGTCATATTCAGGGTAATAACATCCTCAGATTCAATGACGGAATCCACAACTCACTGACTCGGAGTACCATTCAGTTACTGTTACAATTTCCAGTGGATCGCCCTTTCAGCGTTGGACTGCACGTAGTACTACGACCACTGTGTACTACTTCCAGCAGATGAGTGGTCGCGGTCGACACAGCTTGTAATGTCCCTTTGCCTCCCGCTGGTGGTAGCCACTTCTCCCACCTAAAGTGGGATGATAACCCGGCACACTTTCGCCTCCCTTACTAGCCAAAGGGTGAGGCCACCACGGTGACGTCGGGGCCGCTCAATGTCCTGTTCAAGAGCTTAAGAGTTACTGGGAAAAATTCTAGTATTTTGAAAATTATCAGTTGGTTTGGCAATCCTAGAAACTGAACATTGAAACTTGGCATGCATTATCCAGGTAGTGCAATAGCCCACTTAGCATTTTCATATTCATGTGCAATACATTATAACATGTGTACCTATTTACATACACGTACATATACTCGTAGATATATGTGGTTACCTTATGTGTAATAAATTATTACACTATGTACAAACTAAATTAATTAAGCAGAATATTTATGTAAGGGAATGTGACATACGTGATTGGGAACGCATAATGCAAACTTCGACTTTACTCGGCCAAATCGTCCCTCATACTTTTTTATTCGCAATTCCAACATTTACATTTACACCTATACATATTTGTAAGGTTTGTGCGAATGAGTGGGACAAAATGAAATTAAATTAAACAATTTTATTCAAAATAAATTAAATATTGTATAATATGAAAAACTTAAATAAAATAAAAACAAATGAAGAAAATAAAATAAAATAAAAAAACTTAAACGGAAATAAGGTAAAAAAAAATTAGAAAAGAGATAAAATTAAAAAAATTAAATAGAATACAATTAAACAAAACAACATTTAAAAAAATAATATAACATATAATAAAAAAATAAAAATTAATAAAATAAACTCAAATAAATGAAATACGAAATATAAATTAAAATAAAAATATTTTTGAAATAAGAAAAAAATAAAATGAAACCACATAAAATAAAAAAAAACAAATAAAATAACATAAAATAAAGCAAAATATAATAAAAAGGTAAAATTAATTAAAAAGAAATCAAATATAATAAAAAATGTTAAATACTTAAACAAAATAAAACAAGTAAAATTAAAATTAAAACAAATAAAATAAGGTAAAACAAAATAAGATAAAATTAAATTAAATAATAGTAAAACAAAAAAAAAATAACTAAAATTAAATGAAAATTGAAAAAATTAAAAATAAAATAAATTGGAATAAAGCAAAATAACATAAAATAAAACCAAATTATTTAAAACTAAGTTAAAATAAAATAAATTAAATTAAATAACATAAAATATCGCAAAACAAAACAAATTTAAAAAAAACTAAATTATGGTAAAATAAAATGAAAGAAAAACAAATATAATTAAAAAATATAAAGCCTTAAATAAACAAAATTAAATAAAAATTAAATCCAAATAAATTTAATTAAATTAAATAAGATGGAATACAACAATAAAATGAACTAAAATAAAAAAATTTAAATTAAATTAAATTTAACTCAATTAAAATAAATTAAAACAAAATAAAATAAAGAAAAATGTAATAAATAAAATAAAATAAAAGAAGATAACTTTAAATAAAGTAAAATAAAATTACATTAAATATAATAAGATATAAACAAAAATAAATTAAAAAAATAATTAAACTAAGTACGTTAAGAAAAACGAACAAAAAAAAATTAATAAAATAAAATAATATTAATTGAATTTTAATATTATAAAAAAAATTAAAAAAAAGTATAATAAAAAAATTAAGTAAATTAAATTAAATTATATAAAAAAAGTAAATTAAAGTAAAATTAATTTAATTTAACTAAAATTAAAATAATTGAAAAATTAAAAAAAAAAAATAAAATAAAGTAGAGTATAATAAATTAAAAATAAATGAAATTAATTTAAATTATATAAAATAAAGTAAACTAAAATAAAATTTAATTAATCTATGTAAATTGAAAATAAAATTAAAATTAAAAAAATAAAATAAAATAATAATTAAAAAAGTCAAATATAGATTTTGAAAATAATATAAAAGAAAGAAAAAGGAAACAAAACAAAATAGAATTAAATTAAAATAAATAAAATAAAACAAAATTAATTAATAAAAATAAAATAAAGCGAAATAAAATAAAGGAAAATATAAGTAATAAAATAGAATAAATTAAGATACATTTATTTAAAGTAGATTTAAATTAAATATATTAAGATACAATAAGATAAATTTAAATGAAGTGAAATTAAATAAATGAAAACAAATTAAATTAAAGAAACAAAGCAACAAACGCAGGAAAAATAAAAAATTAAAGAAAATAGAATAAAATGAAATAAAATAATATCAAATATAACGAATTAAAATTAAAGCGTAAGATAAAATAAAGTTAAATTTATTAATTAATTTAAATTAAATATAATTAAATTCAATTTAACTATAAAAAATCAAGAAATAATTGAACATAGAAATAAATTAAATTCAAAATAAATTTAAATAACTAAATAAAATTCTATAAAAGAAATAAAGAAATAAATTTTAGAATAATATAGCATAAATCAAAACTTATACTAGTTCTTGCGCAAAATTTTGTAAGCGGCTTTCCGACAATCACCTTTGATATGACAACTTTAAGTGGCACACCTACACATATTCAGCACATATATATATAAGATTGTATATTTTTAAGTGTTTCATTACGTTAAAGAAAAGTAATTTTCGTACTTGTTTTGTTCAAGTGCATAACTAATGAGCCGCGCTAGAAAAGTGACGTCTTAAGCAAACTAAATTCACGCATTATTAAATAGATATGTATGTATGTACGAGTACATAAGTAAATATGTATATATGTATGAATCGAACGTACGAAACTCTTAGACATTCCTACAAGTGCCCACACACAAACATGACAAGAAGAACACGTGGATTTAAAAGCAGGATATGTGTAGTTAAATGAAGCATTAAGGATAGAGGATACTTCCTGTATAGCACGCGTAAGTGAAGCATAGACCCTAAAGAGGAACGCGCCTCGCCAAACTATTTTACTCTTATTTTACTAAAATAGAAATAGCAGTGCTTGAGCGGCATACAGTAGAGCCAAGAACGGTATTCACTTGTGATCTTTGCTGAAAGAATAGCCGCACGGGCGCTTCCAAATGAAAACCATCGGCCAAGGAGTAGATGCTAGGGAAGAGCGTACGTAAAAAATCAAATAAAATAAAACAACTAAACAAAATTGAAAACTAAACGTCATAGATTTGTGTTACCAAAAACGAAAAACGAGTGGAGAATTCACGGTGTTTTTTTTTTTTTTTTTTTTTTTTTTTTTTTTTTTTTTTTTTTTGTTTAGAAGGAAGGTATGTATATTTATAAGAGTTGCTCAAGTGTGCGCAAAAGTCGCCTGACATAAAAGTGAAAACAATTCACAAACTAAAATACAAGAAATAAATAAATGAACACACACTCACTGATATACATACATATATGTATATATGTGTATTTGTATAAATTAAATATGGAAAGTCACTGCGAGTATGTGAATGAATGACTGCAGATATACAAACATACATACACACATACATACATAAATAATACACAAATGAAATTGAGAGCAATATCCTTCCGGCTCGCACATACACGTAGTAGGTTACGTCTACCTTTGACAGTGAACGCGAAACAGGATATGCGCGATCGCGCAGAAGCAAAGAAGAAAAAACGTCAAGAACAAGTGTTATCCGCTCTTCTTGGTCCACAATATCGAAATGTTAAATGCATTCATACGAAACAATTCAACAATAAAGTAAATACAATGGTGGGCAATTGTAGAATAACTGACAATGAAGAAAGAAACAAAGAAAGAAACAAAAAACACCGTGATTATGTACGAGGTCCAGTGACAGGCAGTCAAAGAAAAGCCAAAAAATTTCAACAAAAGCGTAGACGGTGAATAAATTATTGCTTTTGAAATATTTTTCGTTCGCATTTTTTTTATATTTTTACTTACGTTTTTCCTTTATAATCGCAAAGCAATCAAAAAACACTTGCAGTCACACCGGAAGTGGGTGATTTTTTCTTCCTTACAATTCCAAAATGCATATAGTTTTTTATTCAAAATCATTTTTTACATTATTTGCTCTTGTTGTACTCCTTGCGCTTCCTTGCTTTTATTATTAAAATAATTTTTGTGGTTAAATAAATGGTTTGACTCACTTATTTTTGTTTTTTTCTTTGCTCAAAATTTGCCGAATTTACCTTAAAAATTTGCATTTTCAAAAAACAAAGTAGCAAGATACAAGATGGGAGGGTTGATCTAAAAATAAACTCACCCCATAGAGTATTCAGACTGTCTAACTAAATATCCTTGAGTTAAAATCCTCAATCGTCGCAACTTTTTTTGTGGGGATAAAGAGAGAGCTGACGACTCCAGCTTCAGTACAGAGTGCTCTTCGCGGTCCAATCAAAAATATCGGGAAGGTTTTCTCTAAATGCGATGAACCTTTGTCATTGCAGCTGTGAAATCCTATAACTCCCATGGAGGGGGGCTTAAGAGAAAACGACAAAACGGGAGAGGCTGGAAAGAGTAGTCAGACTCTCCTTAACCAAATCACGCGTTTTTGAATTTACAACGGGCGACACTAGCAGCTAAAAACAAGGCTTTCATTACTGGCATAGTAGTAAAGTGTTACTCCTATGACTACGTCCAGCCTCTGACTTTAGTTCAGCTTCTGTCTGCTACAATAGAAGTAGCAATGAACTCAAGTATGAAAGTTTGTAGAGGCTTTTTTATTTCACTTAGAAGCAGACTAAAGTTAGTCAATGTTGCCGAGGTCATCTAGCTGATGGCTACCGAAACGAGCTGTTTTGACGGGTCGGACCAGAAGGAGAGGGATGTTAGACGAGGGGGCTCGCGAAGAGTGGGTTTATATCAGGGAGGTAAATAATTATCTTATAAGTTATGAACAACGTTCTTTGTTTTTCTCTTTGGAAACTTATCAATTTTGTTGCGAATTTTGGTGCCAATCGCAGTATGTGAAGCTTAGGAGTGTAGGCTCTCCAATATGACTCCCAGTAAAGTTAGGTTATTTACTGTAGGAATTTTCTTGGCTATCGAATTAGGAGGCGAAGAAGGAAGCCGTAGACTTCTCTGATTGTGTTTATAGTAGTAGTAGTTGTAGACATATGAAATCTAGGAAATACCCACTAGTGGGGAAGGAAATGTAGAAATTAGGCAATAGCGTTTGAAAATCGACCACTCTTCAACCCAACCCAACCAACGGTAATGACTCGCCCATTTCCGATAGTATTACTGCTTGGTACCTTGCTTTTTGCTTGGCTTTTGACAGATCCATCGGTACCAGGACAGATCCCCAAGAATTATCTAGCGTGTTATGGGGTTAAGTGCGGTGAAGCGGCTCTGAGTAGGCTGCTGGCCAACAGGTAAAATGAGCAAACTTTACAGATATTTTAAAGATGGTGCTAGAATGTACGGTAGACTGGGGTTGCATCCAACTGGAAGTAAAAAAAATCATAGTCTTAAGTCTAAGGTTAGACTTCAAGAAATGTGAGGAGACTCGTACTTATGTATATCTCAATTTGTTAACAGATAAGCAATGTTCTTCAAATTGAATAGGAAGTGTATTATAGAGCTTTGGTCGGATATAGTGTAATTGGTAATAATATAATGATATTCTATATGCGATGCTAACCACCGAGCCAACCTAACCTAATTCTGATTGGAATGTTTACCTCTAACCCCAACTACCCTACGTCTTCTTCGTAGAAAATGACACGATGAGATAACAGGCGACATTGATTTACCCATTGGTATTGGCACGAACTTTGAAATTTTTCGATGCAGTATATGCTGAGGGATTTATTAGCGGTAAGACAATTGCGTAGCGGTCGCGGTAGTCGAGTGGTTACCATTGCGTACTGACATTCGGATGTCTCGGGTTCATATCCCGGTGCCACCAACATCCAAAAGTTACGGAAAATTAATTTAAATAAAAAATTAAGTAAAATTTTCTAAATGCGGTCGCCCCTCGGCAGGAAATGTCTACCCCTCCGATTTTATTGCGACATGAAATAAAGGCTCCTCTTAAAAAACCATCAGCCGTTCGAAAGCGGCTTAGTATAAACTGTAGGTCCCTCCCATTTGGTGGAACATTGGAACATCAAGACGCAAACCACAATTTGGAGGAGGATCACCGTGGAAAATTGCTTCAGTGATTACAAAGCGCCAATCATATATTATATAAGTCAATTGTGTCGTCCAATAGTTTCCACAGTCAGTCAGGTCTTTATACAGAAAGGGCTCGGATTTTTTCGGCCGAAGACTGTCATTTCCAAAACGTTCCCGTAGGAGCCAAGGATTTGTTTAGTATGTACACATGTTTCATTTTTTCAATATTTTGTCCTTTTAATTGTCCGCTGTGTCTTTGGCTGCTTATAAATAATTAAATAGTTGCAAGTTACGTAATAGCGGACTTGGGAATTTACGTGTGTCGTTCAAATAATAAATAATTAAATATGTACGCATGTGTAGATAACAACCTAAAGTTAGGATAACCTTGACGCTTATGGCCACGTATTCATACGCTCAAACACGTAAGTTGAAATGAAAGGACATTCACATGGCTTTTATTTGTATATTCATACTACGCATTTGTGTACATATGTACATGTATAATGAAATGAAAGAAATCGTCGATGTTTTACACATAGAAATTTATTACGAGCTATTCAACTTTTTGTGGTTTAAATAGCATACAAATTGATGTAGAGCAAAAATACGTACATAAATAGTTAATAATATTACAATTAAATATAGCTATATCTTGTTTTAATTAACTATGTGTTTTTTTTTTTGCCACTTAATATTTAACTAGCTGTCTTGAAAAATAGTAGTAGCAATACCCTGATGATTACGTGTCATCTTCATCTTATTGTATATTGTGGCCCTTTTTGCTATAATTTTCCTTCAGCTGTTTTGCTATACGCCATTTATATTGATTCGTCTTTTTTCAATGTTGAACATAGCAATTATTATTTAGAACATTTTTTTCTTAACCGCTGTGTAGCGTTCCATATAAACCTCATAACCATCTAAATCGGTGAATTGTTTGGAATTAAACAGGTTGCCATCAACAGATAGATTACAAATTTTAGATTCTCTCAATATGCGCGGAGTAAATGTTTGGGCTTGCAGACAATTCTCCTCTAGTCGTAAAACTTTTAGTTTGGGACAAGCAGCAATCTCTTCGGAAAGTGTAGAGATTTGATTTTGGTTTAAATTCAGCTCCGTCGTGTAAAGTGTACCCACTTCTGCTGGCACAGAAGTAATCTTATTTCGTGACAGATCCAAAACATCCAGATGCTTCAGACCACATAACATTGTTGGAAATTCTTTAATTTGATTATTAGACAGATTCACAGTTTTCAAGTTATTGCAGTTCGATAATGTTTTTGGTATTTTCGATAGATAATTGTTCATCAAAAGCAGTACTTCAAGTTTTGTTAGTTCACCCAACACATCTGGTAGTTCGATGAGTTTGTTACCGCTCAAGTTTAGATGTTTGACCAATGTAAAATGACCGATTTCATCAGGTAAGCGTTCAAAACGGTTTTCGGAAAGATCTATACGAATATAAATTGTATTACATATATTGAAATGGATCAGAAGCAACTTAGTTTACTTACCCAGAGTTTTCAGGACATTTGGATAGTTTTTCAGTTGCGGTGGAAATTCCTGTAAACGTTGTAATGAAATTTTCAGTATGCCAGTTTTCTGCGCAGTTTCTAAGTGTTGTCGCACTTGCTTATTACCCATTATGCCGCTAACTTTATAGTAAGCGTAATAAAATTATTAGCACTTTAATTATTAAGCTTACAAATATTAATTTGTTAAAATTACTCTCCGATGCTTTGTTTGCCTGCAATTGCTCAGTGTTTGCTTTTGTTTTGGTCTCTGCAAACAGCTGTTTCTGACATTTATGCGCAGTGGCTGCGGCGCCGGCAGCAGTGGTGTAGCCATTCCAAAGGAAATTTAAAAGTTGTTTATTGGAATTTTCTGTGGACCGCTTTAATTATTAATAAATGAAAAGTAGTGTAATATAAGTAAGCAAAGAAACAATATTTTCATTCGCATGAATTATTTTACATTTGACATCTTCTTGTAATGCTTCTTTTCACTTGCTCTCTTCAGCGTGCAGATGTCGCTAAGTCAGGCAGTGGCAGCGCTAATTTTGATCAGCTGCTCGAGCTGTCAGTTTCTTATCGTGATTTTAGCACTGTGCTGGCATTATTTGTTTATAGTTGTATTTAGCATCGGGAAAATTTATAAAACGGTTTTACTGTGTAAAAATTTGAAATTAAAATGATACATAGTTTATTTATTGTAAACAATAGTGGGTGAGTAGTGAGGTAGTGAGTCTTTTTTTTCTATATTCAAAACCGTTATTTCAATCTGAATTTCTGCGTTTGGATGGAGAAGACTTTCCATTGCCATATGTTTACATATATACCTGTATATTTGTGGCGTATAATTATAAGATTAAAATAATGCAATATCTTATTTCTTTTTTAGTGATGTTTTTCTTGAGAAACATTGGCGATCTGTCGTTTCGCGTTCCGTTTGCGATTACTTTCTTGATGCTCAGCGCAATGCACCATTTGTAAGTAGTTTCCCTATAACGATTATTTATATCTGCTTCCATTTAATATATTTTAATATATTTCCAGGACGTTCCGCCGGTGATTGCCACACCGCATTACTACCTCATCACAGTCCAACGAAATGGCATATCGCTTGTGGCAGCGTGTAAGCAAGAAGTGCCACCGCTCTTTGTTATTGAATTCCTGCATCGTGTGATGGATACATTCCAAGATTACTTTAGTGACTGTTCGGAGTCAATTATTAAAGAGAATTATGTGGTCGTTTATGAGTTACTTGATGAAATGTTGGATAATGGCTTTCCACTCTCAACAGAAAGTAATATACTCAAGGAGCTTATTAAGCCACCAAATATTTTGCGTACCATAGCAAACACTGTCACAGGAAAAAGCAAGTGAGTGCTTGGCTGATATACGTTTCATTTGAACATATTAAATGTACTTTTCTCTTTTATGCATTATCTATCTGTAGCGTTAGTACTACATTACCATCTGGTCAGCTATCGGCAATACCATGGCGTCGTAGTGGTGTGCGTTATAATAACAATGAAGCTTACTTTGATGTTATTGAAGAAGTCGATGCAATTATTGATAAGTCTGGTTCGACAGTATTTGCCGAAATACAGGGTTATGTAAGTATAATTAATTTCGAACGTGATTTTCAGACATCAATATAGTATATTTGTTATACAAACAGATTGACTGCTGTTGCAAATTGTCTGGCATGCCTGATTTGACACTCTCATTCATGAATCCACGTCTCTTTGACGATGTCTCATTCCATCCATGCGTACGTTTCAAGCGCTGGGAAGCCGAACGTTTACTCTCATTTATTCCACCAGATGGCAATTTTCGTCTCATGTCTTACCATATTAGTTCGCAATCGGTTGTGGCTATACCTATTTACATAAGACATAATTTCTCTATAAAAACGGGTGAGCAAGGACGTTTGGACTTGACTGTTGGTCCACGTACTACACTCGGTCGTACTGTGGATAAGGTCAAACTTGAGATTACAATGCCAAAATGTGTTTTGAATTGTATATTAACGCCGAATCAAGGCAAATATACATTCGACTCAGTTACCAAGACATTATCATGGGACGTAGGTCGCATAGATGTAACTAAGCTGCCAAACATTAGGGGCACTGTAAGTATATTTATGCAAGATTATATGCTAATAAATCATTTAAACTTTATTTACCCCTCATGTAGGTATCAATTACGCCCGGTAGCACTAACATTGATGCCAATCCCTCGGTTAATGTGCAATTTTCAATCTCACAGCTGGCTGTGTCTGGCTTGAAAGTCAATCGTCTTGATATGTATGGCGAAAAATATAAACCATTCAAAGGTGTTAAGTATATTACTAAGGCGGGTAAATTTCAAGTGCGCATGTGAGCCAGGGAGAGTATTGTATAATTATAAAACACTTTACTGCAATTACGTAATATTATTTTATTAGTTTATAAACATATGTACGTATTTCTATTAATTACACTGTTGTAATGCTGCTCATGTAAATGCTACTTTCTGAAATGTACGTGTACGAGCATGTATTATGCATTGAAATAAAGACTATGCAAATTTTAATATGGATATATTAAATAATTTCAAATTCTAGAATTTATTATTTATGTAAATGCTAACATTTATTTTTTTTTTTTTTTTTTGTGTGTAGTGACATTTATGATCATGCTTGCCAAATATGGCAATTGTATGTATAATACATACATAAAGATAGAACAATAATCTTAAAAAAAAAAACTTAAAAATGAAATTATTGTTAGTAAAAATTTGGAAAAAAAGTTGGTGACATCTGCATAAATTTAAATTAAATTAATGTACGTCGCCTTATACGCATGTATATTTATTCAATTTGCCTTTCAATCAGCACTGCACTCAACAGTTCGTGGTTTTTATTTCTCTTTCGGTTGCAGCTGCACTCCGCAGTCAACTGTTTGTTGAACCAAAACAAATCAATAGGAATTTGCGAGTTGTTAAAAATGCAAAAACTTGATTTTACGCGTAGACAAATACATACCCACAACCATAAGCACACACTTGCAGTGCTGGACAAACTCTGCGGGCTATTGCAACATTATGGAGTTAGCAACAAGCTGCAGCGTTGGTGGCGGTGACCATTCAAACTTTTAGTACTTACATTGTTTGTATGGCAGTACTTTTGCATTTTAACCACATACTCGCGCATACATACAATACATATATATGTACATATCTGTGTTTTAAAGCTTTGTCACGATAGACGGCGTTGCATCGTGTGCTGCAGCAGCAGCAGCAGCTTTTGGATGCTTCGTCCAATAAAACCTGTTTGGGTAGCAATAAATGTTTTATTTTATTTCAAATCATTTATACATACATATGTATGTATTATCAAATGGATATCTATGTGCATAGCTACTTTACTGTAAATGGTTAAGTTGAATTGAAAGTATTTAAAATATTATTTAATTTTTCCTTAAAAAATCCTTTGAAAATCTTTTAGACCTACTGATATATCAAAAAATTCTATATAAAATAGGTTTTTTGTAAATAAGCTCACCTGTAACCTTACCAACGCTAGGATTTGGCTACCCGTTTCAGCGACTCGAGCTTGTTGTGAAAGTCATTGGACTGAAAATACAGACAATAAATAACCCAAAGATACTGGGATCCAGTCCTTAGGATAGTGACAGGAAACTTTCTGATATCAAAACACATGACTATACGGCGAAATATCTTTGTTATCAGTTTAAGGTTATAATGCAGTGCTGAGTAAGCTATATTTGCTGGCACACTCCCGTCTCGACGATCCCTAGAGACACTTACTTGAAGCAGAACCTCCACTCAGGCACAAAAGAAAGGGAGTACAACGAGCCAATGCAGCTTTTTAGATATGATCCGCTCTACAGGACGGCATGCCGACTTAAATTAGTGTTACCTGTTGACCTGAACGGGGTTAGGTCGCCGAGAGGGTGACTGGATAAAATCCAGGTCTACTCCGGTACATAGAACCGTCTGTCTTGAGAGTTGTACAACAACCGCAGAACAGGACAACTTACAGACAGGCGTTGAGCGCCATTCACCAGGAGTCAGTCAACACCTTCAAAGACACAAAGTGACTTGTCCAAGACCTCAATAGCTTCTCGAATTCAATCATTTTTAAATCGACGTTGGCATGTTGGCATTGACTTTATGTTTAAGGATCGCCTCTTCGAGAGATAACATGGTCCGGAAACTATTTAAAGATCGATGGTTTCGTTCCTTGTGCAGCACGCAGTGTAGCCCTCAGTCAAGCTAATTTTTCGATGAAATTCCGGAACAATCGGCAACGACCCGACGTTGTTGGTGACCGGCCGGCTTGATTGCTTGTGTTAACTGAACTTTATTAGCCTTAAAGCCCAAGTCTTTATGCAAAATACTGTTGCTGCCATTGGCAGAATGCTGAATTCGAAAGAACGACGAGAAATGAACAAATATGGAGTTTCTTCAACACTTTGGAATGCAGCAGAAGAACTTGTTCCAACAACTCCATTTCTTCCACCGAAATCTGTATTGCGGTCCGACAAGGTGCTTCTCCGGTCCATGACCGAAAAATGTTTCAGCTTCACGAACCATCTCTGCCAGGCTCTCAACATTTTTTATTGAATTTTAATAATTCAGTGCGTATTGAAAACCCCTTTATTTTTTAATTATTAGGTCAAGTAAGAACTTCGTTCGGTTTTTTAGGGATTTTTCAATATATGACATTTGTCCGATTTAAGTCAAATATGCGCCGTTTTATTGGTAAACTTGTTGCCAACGAGATGCCAACTTCATTATATCCCTCCCGTAGAAGGCTACGTCCCTATTGGCAAAAAACTCGGAGAGCCAATTTTCATAGGCCTCTCTCGAGGCCAACCCCTCACCACTAAACGCGTTCGCCATGGACAGAAAAAGATGGAAATCACTTGGTGCCAGCTCCGGATTTTAAGTTGTGTGCATTAGGATCTCCCATCCGAGCTTCTGGAGCTTCTGACGCATTACCAAAGACGTGTGTGGCCTGACGTTGTCCTGACGGAACACACTTCGGCCTCTGTTGATCAAATATTACCACTTCGGGACGAGTGCTGCCTTCAAGCGGTCCAGTTGTTGACAGTCAAGGACCGAACTGAGCGTTGCCAATACCACCAAACACACAGCAAAATCTTCCAGACCGTCAATCCGGTCTTGGCCACCGTCTGGGCCGCTTCCCTGAGCTTTGACCGCGAGCGTTTGCGCTCGATGTTGTCGTAAGTGTCGACGTGGCACCCAAACATCGAGCTTCTTTTTGTATCCAAGGTTATACAAATAGTTCCAAACGGTTTTTTGGCTTATCTTTAGTTCCTCAGCAATTAAATAGCTTCCATGCAACCGATTTTTTCAGATATGAGACTCTAATCAAAACGTGACCAAAAATTTAAAATTTGGTATTATACATACATACATTGTAGCTATTTACAAATAACCAAGTTCACCGAAAATCGTCGAAATCGGAGGACTAGATCAGATGTAGGAGTATAGTCCCCATACAACCAAGCATCCAAGAGCTTAGAATTTGTTATTCTACACAAATAAATTCCAATTAATACTGACCCCAAATAGAACTTAATATTTTGTAATAAATTTGATGAATTCTTGGAAGGCAGACAGACTTCGACATGACATGAAGACAGCACTTTTTCCTTGCTTTAGCCTGAATAAAATCGAAATCTCCTCATTGACACTCCAACCGAGCCTGATATGTATTGACGATCGCGGGAGCTGTTTCTATAAGTATTGGGTATAATAACAATTTAATTACTATAATATAATAATTAAATATAGGTGTAAGAAATTTAATATATAAGCGCAATTAAGTACATAAGCCCTAAACCATTTTTATCTCTCAATTAAAGCGCAAACCTATCAACCCTGCTTAACTCCATTAATTAGCATGATTTGCATTTTTTGCCTACACATTAATTCAATCCTCTGCTATTTGTATTAGTATTTTTACTGAATATTTTCAACGTCATGACTTGAATGAATTTTGTTTTCTACAGTTGAATTGATTAAGGGAAATATTGAGAATAAAAAGACCAAACAAAAGACTCAAGCAACGAACTCGATTTTTACATAACTGAATGTGTGTTGAGATATGTACATGTGTATTTTATGTGTATGTATATATGTTATGTACCTATGTACTAAATAGTTTTATGTGCACTTTGTTACTTCAGTCACCTCATTTTGTAAGCTTACAAACCGACCTATGACGAGTTCAATCAGCAAGACTGAATTTTATGAATCACTTCTCAACTATTTCGGCACAATAAATAAAAAAAAAATTAAGAAATGTATGGAGATGTTGGTTTTTTGCCAAAAATGGTATTTTGTATGCAACGCCTTGCTAATTTTGCGGTTTTAATTGAGTACATTCATCTGAAAGTTATATTTTTTCACAACAATAAATTTACTTGAGGTTTTAATCAAAAGAACTTAAAAGTGAAAAGAAATTCTTGAAGGCAAACTAATTTCGTGGAATAAATACTTCTTTCTTCTGACAGGAGTTTCCATGACTGAATTATACTCATCTAACCCCCGAGGAGGTGACTTGACGCCCATCGTACAGAATATATTGAGTTTATGGAGAAAAACCTTATCCAGCCTACTTTATTACCGTAAAAATAAAACACATCAAAATGGTGAAATATTAAACCAAAACAATGATTATGAAGGAGAAGTTCCATTGATCAGCTATGACGAAGTTCGAATAGCGTTTGCGCGCGTAAAGAATGGCAATGCAGTGGAAACCGATTGTTTAATGCCCGAGCTATTTTAAAAAGGTTGCGTAGAGCTGATTAGGCTGATTTATAATTTGGAATGCATGCCGTCAGCCGGAGACTAAGTGCACTCTGCTCAAACTACAAAAAGAGAGTTTCTTCAATTTGCAATGAATATACTGAAGTAAGTCTTCTCAATATAGCATATAAAGTCTTATCGAACGTCACATCAATGAGCTGATTGGATCTCACCAGTATGGCTTCAAACCAAATTAATTGACGATGCTTGCGTTAAGTCTTCGAAAAGACACGTAAAAAGAGCACCATCTTTTCATCTATTTTACAGTTGCACTCGATAGTACGACGACGCTATATCTGAACTTGGCACCCTTAAGTTACGAAAACTGACGCTGAACAGCATTGAAAGCTCCGAAAAGATAGGAAAGGTTATCCCCGAGGCGTTTCAAGAGTACACTAGGCGAGTTTTCAAACAAACTTCGTGACTAAGCTCCCACGTCACCATTGACAGCTGTGCCTTTAAAGTTGTTGACGATTTCGTTTATCAAGAAAGCAGAGGAAGATCTCCCCGTTGCTGAAAACAGCATATTTTGAAGAGTTTGGCATAACTTGATATTTAATTTGTTAGAAGAAGAAAGGACTCGCTCGTTTATATATACATTGCCGAACTAGAGGAGTGTTTCTTCAGGCCAGGTGATTCAATAACGTGACTCTGAGTGCTTATTCTATTCTGAGGGGTGGATCTCACATCTGCTGGCTCGTTGTGGTACTTATATATATATGTATATTGGGCGTGT